TTTCTTTTTTATTTATGCAATATTGAAAGAGTTTGTTTTATTTCATATTTTGATGCAATTTTAAAAGTATATCTTGTTTTGTATTTTGAATTGAACTTCTTTATAGGTTATATCGTTAAACTGCTTTGAGGTTTGTAAAGTTGTATTCTTAGTTTTACTTGTCTGTCATGTTGTGTGTGTTTTACTTTGGCAAGAGTAAGTTATACTGCCTACTTGACCAATGCATTAGTTATTTAACTGGTTTTTAAATTGAAAGTTAGGGATGACTTGCAGGTAAATGGGGGGAAGAAAGAAGTAGTGTGCAGGCATACTGCATGTTTTCTAAACTTTCTTTTTTCTTTTTTTCAAAAATTCCCTAAGTATATGTACTTTCATTTTAGAACATTGATAAAAAAAGTAGATAAGATCCTTTTACCCTATTCACCTGTTTTTCTGGTTCATTCACCTATGGTATCACCTGTGCCTTCTCCTAGAAAAGATTTCTGTCAATTTGGACATACTCTGTAGAGATACAGTGATCATATTCCATTGCAGACTCAGATGATACCTCAAGGATATGACCAACTTAAATTTTAATGTGGGCATTGCATGCACTCTAGGAAAAATAGCATTATTGTCTTGTATTTATAATGCTGTTTTCTCATTATAGAATATTTCTTAAAGAGTCTTACAGTTCTTCACATAGATGAAGAGATTTTGCTTCTCTGTTATAAGATCCCAAGCCTCCAGTAAAGGTGTCATCCTTCATTCAAGCTCCTTAATTTTATGTTTTGAATAAATATTCTTTCACACTGTCATGCATTGTGTCCAGTTTCTTTCATTTTCCATAAATCAATCAAATCCCGAGAATACAGCTTAATTTTCATAACATTTTCTGTCAAACCTTTTACTATTCTCTTGATCTACCATGGTTACTCTTAAGGGAATTGCATGAATCTACAAGTACCACATAGTCAGTTCTGTTATTGAATATTATTTTTATGTTGAGTATTCGACCATGGTGATCAACAGAAATGATGATGTAATATTTTGTCTTTCATGTTTACCTATATGTGGGGAAAACATAGAGCATGTTGGTCACCAAAACTTTTCTTTTAAAAGCCTAGTTTTATATTTGATTATAAAGTCTTTTGTGTCTACAAAGTATTCTAAGCAGACATTAAAAGGTTGTATTTATCAGATTCATTGTGCAAATTATGGTAATTCTTACATGGTAAAACATGTGAAAGAAACATGAACCTACTTACATATCTTTAAATATTGTAAATCAACTAAATACAAACTGTATTGTTTTAAATAAAGTATTCAGATTATGAACCTGATGACAGGAAATGAAAATCTAAGAAAATTATAATAATTAAAGAAGGATAAATCTCATTGATTAACAGTCACAATATTATTATTATAGAAAGTAACTTTTCCTGTATTTCTTTTTCTGTTTCAAAGCTGAGAAGGTTTTGTGTAAATAAACCTGATAACTCGTGATTACGTGTTATTATATTGAAAAGAATTGAGAATTTTTAGGAGTTTTAAGTATGACAAGGTAATTCATATGTGCAAATTAATTGTTTAAGTTTAGTTGAAATCACACACTTTCTCTCAAAATGTTTTTTACTTACTATGTGTAAATATCTCTAAGTATTTTGTCTCTTAAATTTCTGTGATCTAACTTTATCTTATTATTATCACCTAAAATGCCATTACAAGAAAAGACAAAATATGTCAAACTGTTTGATTAGGTAACAAGATTATTGTTGTTATAATGAATTCCTTTTCTTGTTGAGTTGCTCTCATGATGCCAAACTTTTTTTTGTGACTCAGTATTCTTATTGATGCAATGAACTCTCCCATCTTCCATGACTTTTTTGTGCATATCTCTGGAGATCATGTATAAGCTCTGCTTTCCTACCTTATTCAGGTTTATGTATTTTTAACTCATTAAGAGATTGACCTGTTTCAAAATCATGAGAAAATGGAGGGCATTCCCCAACTTGAGCATTCACATAGTCATGAAACACACCTGGGACACAAGCAAGGAATCCAATTCTATTGGCCTGAATATGTTGATCAAAAAAGTTTTAATAGTCTTACTCATACAGTCTTCCTCTAACGTATGGAGAGATCCCATTGTTAGTAATTATTGATCAACATATTCAGGTCAATAAAATTGGATTCCTTGCTCATGTCCCAGGTGTGTTTCATGACTATGTGAATGCTCAAGTTGGGGAATGTCCTCCATTTTCTAACGATTTTGAAACAGATCAATCTCTTAATCAGGCCTATTCACCTTGAATGTCTGATAGCCCTAGCCTTGAAGAAGTTTCTACTGGTTGATTTCTTATTTCTCCAATCCCAATCCAAAGCATGGTGGGAATTTAGGTTACAATATAACCAGGAGCGGTCAAAAACTTTAGTTTCTCTTCACCCCACTGCATGATTTAGTAATAAGTGGTGCCTAACTTTAAGAATTTCAGATTTTCGAGAGCGAGAAGAATTTTGAAATTACTGTAGGTAGCAAGATTGCCACAAGATATCTGGAGAAGCTGTAAGGAGACTCGGATACAAGGCGTGTTGTTTCTTGAAACGCGGCCTGGTGGAACACGGAGATGTGTTTGTGAGGGAAGTATTTGTTGATACACATGGTTTGTTATATACTCGTAGTGGTGACGTCAGTCGGCGTGAGCTGTCGTAGAGGAGAGCCGGTTGATGAAGACTGAGCACTTCCGTTTCTGTTTGAAATACTGGACATATATTGTAGTATTGATATTTAAGTTTACTTATATCATCTGGTTTGTTAATTAGATCGAGTTTGTTTGTTTTAATAGATAAGATAAAATTATCTGATTTGTACAAAATTAGTCATTTTCAGTATCGAAATTTGGATTTTATTTTAAACATACTATGACACGGACCTTTACAGGGCTGGGATCAATGAATCCAAATTAATCAAATTTTACTCTGTGTGTGTGTGTGTGTTTGTGGGGATACCCTGAGTTTAGGTGCATGTTTACTCATTTTGGAATTATGGTTTCTGTTGCATTGACTATAATATTTGAGATGGAGGTGACATATGCATCTATTGCCATCGCGTTTTCAGCTGATGTTTGGATGTCCGGTAGTTGAGAATCGATACTGTTTCTGAATGCTTCCCAGTCAGTTGCCGTGAAATTGAATACTTTCGGTTTAGCGGGGGTATTCAGGATATTGTTATTTGACAGAGTTATGGATATTGGGTTCTTTTTTCTCTCAAATATGTTCCATTTTATATCTTGACTCATTGTCTGTTATCCCTGAAGGTACTGCTCTCATGTTATATAACTCTGTTCTTGAAGCTTTGATTTTTCCACCTTCTGACATTTTGGTTGTTACTGATGCTTTAATAACAAGCAAATTGTTAATAATTTTCACAATCCTTATGTTGATCACACAGATGGCTTTTCAATGAGGCCGTCTTCTACTGATCATCCAACGTTTGTGACCCTCCAATTGGTAATGGGTTCATGTCTTTCATATGGTCTTTGACTAGTTGTCAGCTTTTTACTCTGCATGTTATGCTTTATCTTGTTTTGAGACTTTATTTTTCAGTACAATTAGCTTTTCTCGTTTTTTTGACTCTTTCGATTAGGATCAGATTTCTACCTTACAGTCTTCTTTAATTGAAGTCTCACTGATATAATTTTTCTTACCATGTGAATGTTATATTGCTTGAACACTATAGCTCATGTGCTATACTGCAACATACTCATCTTCCCCCCATCATTTCAGCTGACCTCTAAAGAGCTTCTTTCTCACATTATTTTGTCCTTGCAGGAATTTCCCAATCAGGAGCTGATTATGGTTTTACCATCTCATTTTTTTTTCTGGCCTTTGTTTTTCTTGGACGTGATTGGCATATACTGTTCGCTCTCTTCTAATCATAATATGCTTCTCAGTCAAAGCCAACTACTCCTACTCATTTCTTTTGAGTGGTAAAATATAGAAGTAGACAAGGTGGGTATTTTCAATCCACTCCTCAATACTTTTTGGTTTGTATGACTTCCATATCTTCTCAGATCACTTTTCAGCTGTGAGACACTTGGCTTTGAAATCCTTGAGTTCAGCAAATAGTGATCATATATCAGTTAACTGAACAGACTAAATTGCCTCATGTAATTTAATTTCTATATAGTATGACATAGCTTGCTGGTTAGGGTGCTTGACTCGCAATCTGCAGGTCATGTCGAACATGCTAGCCCTTTTAGCCATGTGGATATTATAATATGGCAGTTAATCCAACTATTTGTTGGTAAAAGAGTAACCTTCTCTCTAGTCTATCACTGCTAAATTAGGTGACTAGTACAGATATCATTTGTGTAGCTTTGTGCAAAATCCAAAACAAACCATACCATATAACATCAACTTCATCTGTATTGGTTTGTTGATTTACACAAGTTTTTTTTTAACCATTAACAATGAGGCTACCATAAATGACCTATTTTCTTAGTAAATCATTTTTTCTTCATAAAACTTTAAAAACTTTCCCAAGTATGTTTAATTCAGTAAAATTTACACAATCAATCTAGGTAATCAAGTAGCTAATATTGTATTTTTTTGTAAGAATTTAAGATATTGTTTGATAAATTTCATCTTCACATAATATGCGAGATTGAAAGAGAATACAGAAGTTTATGTTACTTGTACTTTTATTAGTATAGTATCTAACTTGTGTAAATATTTTCAAATCATCAAATATAAATTTAAAAGAGAATGGATGGAATTAATTTAAGTGTGATGTGGTTAAGCTGTGTTGTTTTTACCAGTTTGTGTAAATATTTTCAAATCATCAAATATAAAAATTTAAAAGAGAATGGATGGAATTAATTTAAGTGTGATGTGGTTAAGCTGTGTTGTTTTTACTTTGATTTCCATTATCTAAAGTTACACATCTCAACTGTTATGATAACAGGCTAGGATGTATCAAGACTATCACCAAATAAATTTGATATCTTTCTTTTTTTCAGGGTATTATGGCATGTGGCACCACAGGAAGTATTTCTGATTTGATGGAGCCAGTTTTCAATAGTGAGTTAGGGACAGTATCAGTTGATTTACTAGAAGACTGGCTTTTTCTGATTGCATTAAAAAACTCAGAAAATGTTGTTAATCCAGCAAAATCCAAGGTAAAGTTTCAGGTATTTTCACTTTACATTAATGCATGATATTATTTCTATTTTCCCATTATTTTGAATCATATAACATGAAGTAGAAATAGAAATGATATTTATGGTGTTCTAAAAATATATCCTAAACCTATAAACTTTGTTTTATTGTTGTGCTTTATGTGTTAGGAGCAATGTTTGAATACTTCTTGGTACTTCTATAAATTAACGTCTTTATTATTATTAAATGTTTGCTTATTTTTAAACATTTCCAGGAAATGTATGTATTTGTATGTTTAAATGTTTTATATTACTGGGAGTTTCCAATTTTTCATACCGAGATAACAGATTGATACCCTTATTTAATTGTCATTCTTTCAAGTCCAGGCACTGCTATACAACCTAACAGCCTTTTCCCCTTCCACAAAAGTTTTGATAAAGTGGAAAAAGTAATTATCCAGACCAAACATACTATGTATAATATTGCATTTGGTGTTTAGTTTTGCCAGCTGTATCCTAGTTTATGTGGCAGAGGTTTTCATTGGCTACTGAACTGGTCAACACAGTAGATCTCAAACAGAACATATATAAATAAGTGATCAGGCTGAATTATTATACTACTGTCAAGATCAAATGTTCCTTCTAAATGATAAGTTTACCCAGAGTGACAGGTGCTAACCACAGAACTGGTCATTCTCATTCATTGATAGGTGAAGTCATAACCTCGAACCATCACCTGAACAACTACTGAAGAACACTGCTGTCAATATCTTGTATGACATGCAGTACTGCAGTAATACCTTCCCACAGAAAGAACTGATATTATCTTTTTAGAGTAGCAAAGAAAAAAGACATCTAGAATGAAATCAACTGAACTGCTTTCCAGACTTTGGTAAATTCTGAATTAATAATAAAATAAATCAAGAAGATAGAAATGCATGGTATATTCATGGTATTTCCAATAGGTACTTACCTCCTCTCACCCACTTCCCCCCCTTCTTCCCCAATGATATGCCAGTGTTTCTGGTTTGTATATGCCAATTCTTGAAAGTGAGGATTGTGCTGCAATGGTAAAGGGAGCTATCTGAACTAGTATAGGTGGCACGTTATAATTGGTGGAGTAACATGATCAGCAAATGTTGCTGCAATGATGCAAAAATGAAGGGGTTTAAAAGAATGATGATACCAGATCTGAGGTCAGTTATAAACAAATACCTTCACCCTCTAAGTGAATTCTCTTAGTCTGAGTGTGACCTCACCATTCACATCTAATTTATCTCCATTCACCAAAACAAAGTTTGTGTGGATAGGTCCAAGTGGTGGTTTTGTTCAGAGTGCCTGATATACTACAGATTCTATCAATGTTTTGGCTGCTGTTGTATCCACTGCAAATTCTATTTTTTATCACTCACCCTTGTACTATGACAGATACCTATATATATATATACACTTATATATATATCCCAGAGCTAAACTATCAACTTGTAGTGACGAAGCTTTTTGCTTTACGGGATATAAGCAATAAAGTGAAGATTATATGCCGTGCTTAATGTAGAACATTCTGTTTTCAAAATATGCCATAAAACCTCTCTTATTTTTGCTATTGGCCTATATATAATAATATAAAGCATATATTTCAATTTACTAACAACTATGGAGCCTCAGGCTCTATGAATAAATGTATTTTAATATTTTGGCATCCTTTTCTTTGTTTGACACTGTTGGAGCTCTACCTGACTGGGTATGCAAATTATCTAAACTATTTCTCATTTAGTTACAAATTTAGATAAATTATATTAGTTTTAGGACATTATATTGTATATGTGTGGCAATATTTCATATTCTAAGCTGCATATATGAATTAAAAAATAATTTCAGTGACCACTTAAGTTAACTTCTAATGTATGAGAGCAAAAGCTTGAAAAGGACAAGATTTCAGTGATAAGTTCTAATTTTCTTCAACTTTATGTATATTTTTAATTTATTGTTAGAAAAGTAACTAAAAAGTAAAACTTGATAATTTACTTAGTTATATAAGGAAACTTAAATGAAATTAAATAAACAAAATATTTGTTATGAGCATGGTTGTGTAATTTGACGTGATCATGTTGGTAACTGGGTCCATTGTTTACGCAAAGCTGTTGGGTGCAATAAATAGGTGTTGCTGTAGTCTGAGAGGGTCTAAGAGCATTTGTGAAGAAATATAACTAAATAAAAAATCTATTAGCTTTGGGTGTAAAAATAAATAGTGTATAATTGCCTCTTACAATGTGCATTTATTCTAGAAAAAAGGGTAATTTATATTTAGTTTTTTAAATGATGGTTACAAACTCAAATTGTCCCCCTGTGGGACAGCCGTAAGTCTACGGATTTACAATGCTAAAATTAGGGGTTCAATTTCCCTCAGTGAACACATCAGATAGTCCGAAGTGGCTTTGCTATGAGAAATACACACACACACCCAATTGGACCAAGTTTGTACACAGTGTTAGCATAGAGAAAATAACAGATAGAATATAAAGTTTTACTGGAAAAAAGCTTTTGATATTAATTTACTATGTTCTAAAGATTATGCAAATAGAATTTCAAAACTGTATGATGAAAATGTATTTTTAATTTTAACATGAAACTCACTTTGCACTCAGATTAGTCAGAGTCTGACTCCATAAATTTTTAGGTAAGTAGTTAGTAAAAATACTCAGTTAAAAATGATTTTTGTGTCAAAAGACCTGTAATGTTTACTAAAGGTTTGCCGAATTTCATCAAGGTACACTTACTACATGAAAAGTTTAAATAGTATGTATAATGTCATGGTTATCTGATAGTTACAATGTTGGTCAAAATGTCTGAACCCATATCCAGTCAGTTCAGACAGTTTCTTTATATAACAATAGATCACACAGTGGGAGATTCCACTAGTGGATAATACTTTGAGAGCTCCAAGAAAAACAAATTAAGGATCCCAATTTATATCCTTGTTGTACAGCAAAGTGAAACACATTCAAGTCAGAATGAGGGATGTAGTACAGATACAAACAACCTATGGCACTTGTGTGATCATTTAAAACTATGGGATGTGTACTGTACTGTTGTTACCAATAGCTGAGAAGTGGTTCTCAACCTGTGTTGCAGTTAGTGGTACCCTGGTGTCTGAGGTACAAAATTCTTCAGATATTACATAATACAATAACTGGAGGATAAAAATTTGTTACACAAACTTGTGCTGCCGTTGATATTTCTTCTGGCTGCATTTGAGTCGAAATATTTAACACTGAGGGAACACTGTACAGTATGTGCCATCCAGAGGAAAAGTTGGCCTCAACAGGGTAAAATCCAACAATACATGGTTGTTTCTTTACAGAGAATAGCTCTAGAAATTGTTGGTGCATTCCTGAAGACAGAAAAAAGTCACCTATATATACTTGTGGTTATCAACTATTTCACCAAGTAGGTTGAGGTTTATCCAGTGATGTATACATCCACAAAGTCCATGGCTAATGGACTGGCAGAATAGGATAGCCTGGATCAGAGTACTTGAAAAGATCCCCTCTGATCAGGTAGCAAACTTTACAGCCATCTGTTCACAGAGTTATGTAAACGTTGGGTGTGGCAAAGATACAAACTTCACCACCTCACCTCCAGTCTGATGGACTAATGAAAAGGGTGTATGAAAGCATTCTATGCATTTTGGTTAGTATTTAAGTAGGATGGTGACAAGAACTCGGTCTTATCTCATTATGACAGAAGTTAGATCAAAAAATGCCAGTTCTTGACGAGATGCTTAGTTTGAATGATCCATGTAACCACCAATGTCATCCTCTCAACTGATATGGCTGGTATTGAACCCAAACCTACATTTAGGAGTCAGATATTTGAAAGATTGTTGACCAAAGGAGCATCACTACACTTGCTTTCTGAGCCCTGAGTGGTGACATGAAATATTGTGCATGAACTACACTATATGGTTACTACTCAATTAACACAGCTAATAAAGTCATCAGCTTGAGTAGCCAATAATTGAAAAGAAGTAGCATTCTTTGCTTTTTGATACATTGGGTAGTAATTTTGGCAGAATATATGGGTTACATTTCATAACTACATCTCAACTAGTGCCAGTAGATATGATTCCTAATGCAAGGACATTTTGCATGAGTAAAGATTATAGGTGTTTGAAAACACAGTCAAAAGGACCTTGCTTTTTGAGCTATTAAGGGATGTTCTCCAAGATGAGAATCAATCATCTAATCTGTCAGGGTAGTGTGAGGTTTATAGAGAATACTGCTAAAATCTTTGCTAGATATTTTCTTTTGAGGCTGGAAGAACTGTCCCCTATGCAGTCTTGAATTTGTTTTTATTTGAATGTATATTGATATTAATATATTGACAGCATGAATAATTTACCTTGACTTACAAACTTTTAGCTGAGGTCTTAGTTCAGCTGAATTTAGTTTGTGATTATTTATTTCACGAAAGTCTGAAGGAAAACTGCTTGAGTTTAATGGCTTGCAGGTAGCAGCACATAACTCAGCCAAGCTACCAACTATACCTTGTAAAATAACCTGAGACAGTTATTGTGCGAGTTGAGTTGAAACCCAGAGGTTACCTACTCAAAATCTATTATGGTGACGTGTAATGGAGATTAATGTGTATGGTAATATACATTTCTAGATAAATGCATATGTATGGTCATGAATGCATGTAGGAATGTCACACAAAATCCTTCAGTTATATGAGAAACACAATTATTAAGCTACATGGAAAAAGAAATAAAGGATTTGATCCTGATTTTAGGACTTTGCAATGTGAAGTTAACTGTGGTTACTAGTCTGGGAAGTATTATTTGAAAATACGTTATTTTCATTAGTACTCGGGAAAGAATATTTCAGTTCTGACATTAAAATATTTAGCAGGAAGTGAATGTTCATGGGAGGAGTAACAGTGAGACACACTATTTTTGAATGCAAATACAATTTCACTTATGGTTTTTCTGGTAAGAATATTGTAGAAGATTTTGGTTGCTTAGAGTCGAATGT